TGGAAAGAATGGAGCATACCGGCACCTCTGTACGCATATGTCCAACAGTTGGCTGGGCTGCATGTCTTAAAGGGGCCATTGCTCTTAAAAAGGCAATGCTGGCCCCACCCCAGCATGCTTTTCTTTTTCTTAACTTTTCCCCTGGAGTACTGGCACTTTTTTTTTTTTAAACAACAAAAAAACCCACTGTGGGTACTTATTAGGGATGTAAACTCCCAGTTAATCAGTTAACCGGTTAAACCTTAGGTTTACTTAACGTTTAATCAGTTAACTGACTAAACGGGATCCCAGGCAGGGGCCTGCTCCAGCCCCACGCTGTGGATGGCCACGCCTGGGCCTGTGGTGGAGAGGCGCTGCGGTAGACAAGAGCATCACCTGTCTGTGGAGGGCCCTCTGTAGGGCTTGATTATACATTGTAATCAAGTCACTGCCTGACCTCAATAATATACTGGGCTAGATGGAACTTTGGTCTGACCCAGTAGGGCCATTCTGATGTTCTTTTTGTTAAGATAAATAAATTGAGCTCTTTGAGTCTTACTACAAGGCATTTTTTTCTAATACCTCAGTCATTCTCATGGCTCTTCTCTGAACCCTCTTCAGTTTATCAACATCCTTTCTAAGGATGTTACATTTAGATTAATCAACTAATCAAATAGTTGATGAAATTTGCATCGATTATTTGATAAGGGCGCTTCCACCTTTGAAATGTAGCAAGAGCCCTGCCAGCTCTTGCTACATTTCAAAGGTAGAAGCACTGTGGGGAGCACAGCTGGTGGGGGACTCAAGTAGTCCCCCCCCCCCCCCCCCCCTCGCCCCCTCCCCCCCCCCCCCCCCCAACCCTGCACTCCCTGCTTTTGAAATTTACAAGAGCCTTCCTGGCTATTGAACATTTCAAAACCAGGGAGTGTGGGGCCAGCAGGTGCTGCTTGAGTCCCCAGCTGCCCACAGGCTCCCCACAGCACTTCTGCTTATGAAATGGAGCAAGAGCCCTGTTCTGGCTACATTCCCAATGTGAAAGTGCCACCAGTTTGCCGCTGCACCCCTGCCCCTTCTCCCCATGGAGACTGCTGGGGGGAACCGGGTTTTAAGCTGGCTCCCTCCAGCACTGGATCCTGCTCCTCCCCACTGCTGCTTCTCTTTGGTAGAGGCAGCAGGGGAGGGGGAAGCCACTAGTTGCTTACATCCCTAATAGTTTTTGAACTGCGGGCACCATAACTGGACACAGTATCCAGCAGCAATTATACTGTGACAGATAGCCTCTCTACTGGGGTGTTAAAATGTGTGTATTCAGGTAAACTTGTAACTGCTGAAAAATTCAGTGGTTGCATGTGTACATTAGGGATATAATAGTGTAGTCGATTAACCAATAAGCAAAAGCTTATAGGTTAATGCTATTGACTACACGCGTTCTCCCTTCCCCCGCACACCCCTCAAATTGCCAGTAAATTTTTTAGCAAGCTGGCCAGCAGCCCGGCTCAGTCCTGGCTTGCACCAGGTCCAGGAGCAAACCCCGCTGCAGCTCTGTGTTAAGTTGTATTCTGAGCCAAGCGGGCAGGCAGCCTGGCTCAGTTCTGGTTTGTGCCAGGTATGAGAGCTCAGTGCCCGCCTCCCGCCCCGCCTCCCTCCCCGGTCAGGGGCTGCTATATCAGAGGCAGCAGCATGGAGTTACACGGGGCTCCTTGGGAGTGTGGCAGGAGTGCACTGGCTGCCAGCCCTGCCCCCGGGAACTATAGAATAGTCAAATAACTGATAAGAATTCATGAGGTTAATCAACTATTCAGTTAATCAATATTTAACATCCCTAGTGTACATGCAGGCTCCTGTGGAACCACCTATCCCACCCCCATGCTACTGCCTCTGGGGGCAGGCGGCTCGGCGGGGGGAGGCATGCACTCTGTGGGAGCTGTATGTGCAGGGAGCAGCCTTAACAGTCTGACCTGCCTCATGCTGCCTGCTTCACCCTGTATTAGAGGCAGCGGCGTGAGGGGGCAGGCAGTTCCCAAGGAGCTGGTGCTCATAGGGAGCCAATTTAACCCCTCCATCCCTTCTCCCCATTGCAGCCTTTGATAAAGGGTGGGGGATGCTGTGTATAACTGTGAAGGTTAACCGATGTGCCCAGGCTCATCGGTTAACCGTTTACACATATACGCAGTCACATGCCTACTCTTTACTCCTACCCAAGAGTCCCTGGTTCTTGCATTCCAGGATGACATTAGCTCACTTAGCCACAGTATGACATTGCACCTCATGTTCGGCTGATTATCCACCACACCCCCTGAATTTTTTCCACACACACCTCTTCCCAGGATAAAGTCCACCTTCATGTAAGTGTGGCCTGCCTTCTTTGTACATCAATATAGCTACATTTAACCATATTAAAACACATTCAATTGCATCCAATTTATCAAGTGATCCAGATCATTCTGATTCAAGGACTTGATGTTACCATTATTTACCACTAGCTATCAAGCACCTCTATACTGATACAGCTGTTCCCCAGTATTGATATAATCAGGGTTTGACAAATAATGGAAAACCCGACTTGCCCCCCCCACCCAAAAAGTGTTTTTTTAATGGCATAAATTCCTAATAAGAATAAGAACAGTAATTACTAATAAGTTAATAAATATCACCCAAGTTATTAATAAATATCTTATAAACCTCTACTTTTCCCCTCTGCTGCCATGTCTCCTCCCCTTGCTCCATCAGCTCCCCTGGTGCCTGCTGCCCCCCAGCCCCTCACCCTCCTCTGCTGTCCTGACTCCTGCCCTTCTCACTGCCCTCAGCCTTCCTGAGACCTGCCCCCTTCCACCAGCCCATCTCTCCCCCCTGTGCCCACTCCTCCAGTAGCCCCACTCTGATCATGTGAGCTACCCCTCCTCATCCCCTCTCCTAACACCTCTCTACACACCTGCTCTGCCTCTCTCCTCTGGTGCTGGTCCCTCCCCTGCAGGTGTCTGCCCCTCTGCTTCACCCCCAGAATTCCCTGGCACCTGCACCTTCCTTTACCCCTGCACCCTCCCGGTGCCTCCCCCTTCCCTCACTGCCCCTGCCCTCTTTGCCCTCTTTTTCCCTGATACCCACCCCTTCACCACCCTCATGCCCCGTGCCCTCACACATGCCTTGGTCCATCCTTGCCTTCCTCATGCCCACCCCTTCTTTCAAGCCTTCTCCCAGCACCTTGCCCTCCCCCCTCTAACCCTAATTCCCTTATCCTCTCCTCTCCCAGCATCACCCTGTCCCCCCTCCCACTGACACCTCCCCTCCTGCCCTTTTCCTCATTGTCTGCACTTAGCCCCCTGGCATTTGTCTCTCCTGCACCCCTGTCCCTTGGTGCCTTCCCCTTTCCTTTTCTTTTTCTCCTGACCTCTCCCCTCCCCTCAACACAAGCCCATTCTCCATATTTCTTCCCTTCCCTTCCTTTCCCTCCCCACAGCACAGCACCGCCCCAGCCTCTCCCCTACCTGGTTTCTGCCTTCCACTTTGCGGGGCTGCCGGAGCCTTTTTTAATCCGATGGTCGCTGGCCGTGACGTCAGGATGCCATGTCACACCAGCGTCCTGGCGTCTGCCGGCGTCCCGCCCTCTGGCTCCCGCCGGAGCTGCATGCAGGGAGCCTGGCGCTGAGAATCGCCGCACTTCCCCCTCCCCGGCAGCGCTCTGCTCCTCCACCGGCCAGAAGTTCAGAGGGGGCCGCGCCGACTGTAGTGCGGGCTTTGGTCAGCCCGTCACAACGGCCCACCGGGCCAGTCCACCCCTGCACTCGCCAGCTGGTGAAATCTGCTCACTGCGGGCGAGTGTAGACCTACTTCAAAGTAGGAATAAGAGATCCTCCGGAAAAGGGCTTTTTTCCGGAGGATCGGGGCCAGTGTAGACGCTCTTTTCTGGCTTTTCTAAAAGCCGGAAAAAAGCGGCGGACATTTTTATTTAAATGCCGCGGGGGATATTTAAATCCCCCGCGGATTTCCCTATTACGACCTGTAAAATTAGCATGCCCCTTTCGGAAAAGGGGCCAATGTAGATGTAGCCAAGTTGAAAAGCAGCTGTCAATGCAGTAGAATGATCATGGAACAATGGAATTGGGAAACCTGTCTCATATGATGCTGCCTGCCCTGTGTGACATTGCAAACCCTTCCCAAAGCTCCCTGTAGCCAGTTGCATAGTGGGATAGCTACCACAGTGCACTGTTCTCTGCGCTATTGCAAGAGTTGCTAATGTGAATGCACTTCACCATCATAAAGGGCACAGTGTGGACACATTACAGTGGATTCCCTGCAGTGCTCTGTGAGCAGCACTGTACCTCTGCCAGTGTAGACATACAATGGTGGATGACCTAGGCTAATGAGTAGGCGTTGTGAGTGGTCGTCTTTCATTTCAGTGGGCTGCAAGATTTTCTTAACCAAGATGACCTCCCAGGATAGGATATTTTTGCTAGCTGCGCTTGTATACCCAGAATTTGTGGGCTGTGCCAATTGAACCAGAGCATCATATGATTAGGTGCAGAGGGAGTGCATGGCTCTCATGGTCGTTGTTGTGTGAAGTCAGCACATATCTCACTTCACATGCATGTCACTTTAGTAATACCAATAGGAAAAAACGATGTGGATGAAAACCAGTGGAATCTGGCAACTCTGCTTGTGGACAATAGTGAACAAAATATCTTGTGGGCCACACACAAGTCTAGTGGCCTGCATGCAGCCTACAGGTTACGCACCACTACCTTAGAGAGCACAGTCCTCTTTCACTGATCTTCCTTTTGCAGATTAGAGCCAGACATGGGTATAATTTTTCCTAAACAGAGTGGAGGTGAAATTGAGTTCAATGTTCTTTTACTTATTAAAATACTATTGGAAATGAAAGCTTTGATTTAAAATAATGAAGCAGACTTCTATGAATGTATTTTATAGACGAGCTTAATGTTTATGTAGACATGTAATTTTAAAATATTATTTGACGCTATTGATTAAAAATATATTTGTATATATATATTTTTATATTCTAGCATGCTCTGATTTCTCCTTGAAGTCCTGTGAAGAATGTCTAAAAAATGTTTCAGTAAGTTTTGGCATCTTTTTACTATTTTGGGGTCAGAATCTGGTGATGCTTATATGTAAGAAGATGGTGCTGAAATATCTTACCACAGCTAACTCTTTCACAGTACTGCATAGGCGGGAGAGTGGGGGGTGAGCCAGGGAAGGCGATAGCAAAACAGTGGAAGTCATTAGAAAGTGTAATGCTGCTTGGAGTAGCTCATGCCTGTACTTATACCTCAGAGCAGACTGTCAAAAACAGTACAGACATCCCAAATTGGTGATGCGTTCTGTAATTAGATTTCACCATCCCAGTAACAAATGTGAATTCCCGGATCATTATATCGATATAACTGTAGAGACACAAGCAGTCCCCTTAGGCTCTCCAATCTATCTTGCTATCCAGGTGAATTGAACTTGGTGATAAATGGTCACTTAAACCAAAAAAATCACAAAATGTTCAGGTCCAAAGAGACCTGTTACTTACTCTGGATTAATTGGTACCCTAGTTCTTACACCTAAGACACCACCTCTAGCCAAGCTTGTAATAAACTATGTGAAAATTCTAAATACAGAGACAGTAATACAAAGTGGCAGCCAGCTCCTGAGGAGCAGGATAAGAGGCTGTTTGTAACCATTTAAATGGTCATCCTGTTATATCCCTACATATTTTCTTATAAAAAGGAAAGCAGACATCAGTGAGATGAATGCATTCAGTAACTTACAAGCATTTATAGAGTCTAAACTTAAAATACTATATTATAAGACTTGTGCCTATTTTGAACAATACTAAGATACAGGTGAGCTGGTTTGGTTCACAGCCATGAGTTTGCCAGTTCTTAGCTGAAGCCGACAGATTTGGCAGTTAGCACTTGCTCTGCCAGCATCATAGAAATCATTCCTTGTTTATACACCTAATGAAAAACAATAATTCCTACAATTTCTTCTAAAACTTCATTTCACTAGGAAAAAAAAACCCCTGTCTTATGTTCTCCCACATGTTACTTTGTTGTGATGGCTCATTTCTTTTAGTCCCAATTAGCCTTGTGACAGCAAATTTTAAAAAAGCATATTTCATCATCTTGATTTGCTCTGTACTGATACATAGTTGCTCACTTGTGCAAGTTTCTTCATGAGGTTGATAGATTTCCACTCCATATGGCTAAATGCAATGCCTTGCATGGTGTCAAGTATCTTGCATCTGAGGAAGTGGGTCTTTGCCCATGAAAACTTATGCTCCAACACTTTGGTTGGTTTATAAGGTACCATAGGACTCCTCACCGCTTTTGCAGATTCAGACTAACACAGCTACCCCTCTGATAGTTGCTCACTGTTTATATTGCTAGTCTTCCACTAGCTCAGGACGGGACTAGCAAAGCAATAAATACAGGTGCGCAGGAGAAGGGAAATGTGATTTATCTAGGATGAGCTTGTAACGATAGATGAATTCCCTTATTGCTGACTTGGCTATGTACAGGAAGCTTTTTTTAATGTTTTCTTTTGAATATATGCTGCTTGTAAATACTAACACATTAATAGGTATATTCCTCACACATGTGTGCACACACGCTTTCCATTAACACGTGAAAACTACTCAAGTGCATTAAGAAGAAAAGAAACTCACAGGGGTGTGTACACCAGGAGAAATGTAGCTATGCTATATCTTCAAAATCTATCAAACTATTGATAGCGTACATACTTTCTTTGATGACAAAATAATGGATGATGCAGTGAGACTGTCTCAGTAACAACAGCTCTGACCTTGGTGAGATGAGTTTAGACTTGACTGAGCCAATTCATGTGTTCATAAAAAATAAAAGCAGGACTAAGCCTTTAGCATTTATGTATGCAACGTAAAGGTGTTAGATCACTGGAAATTATTTTTTTTTAATTGATGAGATAGAAAAATACCTAGTTAGTCATTTCAGTAGTAGATGTCAGCAGAAAATGAAAATAAACATTTGGGGAATATATGATAAAAAATTTCTACTAAATCTTATGGCTGGTTTACACTAGGCAATATTTATGTCATTTCTATACGACAGCCATCCTCCCACAGATGTAAGTGCTCTACTACACTGACATCAGAACTCCACCTCCACAAGAGGTATAAGGCTTATGTCTGTAGTTGGGTGATGCAGTGTCTACATAGACAGTTCATCGGCTGTCTTGTCAGTTTCACAACAGGAGCTGTGAAATTGTCAGGAAAGCTGGGCAGCTGCCCTCTGCTTCACTGGAGAGCTGAGTTGGGGTAAGAAGCCCAGCAGCTCCTGCAAAAGTGTTAACAATACATGGACTTTCTGAGAGTTTTAAGATGATGGTGGGATTGAGACAATTAACTGTGCTGAGTCCACTTCTCTTCATCTGAATAGTTAGTTAATTTAATAAGAGAACCAAGCTAACACACGCTGATGATCTGGCTTGTTTGTCTGACAGCAAAGAGGAATTGGTAAATAGTGTATCAGAGTGGGCATCTATGATTGAAAGTGTTAACAAAATTGAAGTTGTGCGTGTAGGAAAGATAGTGGAAGAGCTGTTGATTGAAGTTACAAGAGAGAAGCTAGTCATAAGAATGCGTAGCTTGGAAATATTTAGAGTCATTGGGGAAAAAAATGGATTTGAAAAGAACAATCCATTATGCATGGTTGACATTGGGAAAAGCTGCTAGGGATAGTGTAGGTAGAATCTTGCACAGGTAAAAAGTTTTTTATCTGTGGATACAAATGTCCACAGATACATAAAGCAAATATCTGCAGAGGAGCAGGGCTCTAGTGACGACAAGCAAGACCACGGCCAGTGTCTGGGACAAGAACCACAGCAGCATATCAGGTTGTCGTTCACAGGAGCCAGCACCCAGCCTGAACTCTTCTGGCATGGCTATACTACCCCAACCCTGCCCACTGTAGCAGGCACCAATCTTATTGGCAGCTATCCCTGGTCATGCTACTGTGTGTAAATGACTCCTGGAAAATAGACTATTTACCACAGTGTTGAAGTGATGCTGCCACCAGGGACAGTTGCAGGGTGTCTCTTACCTTAAATGCATGGCTATGGCATTTTGGCCTTTGAGAACCTGGATGCTGGCCAGGGCAGAAACTTAGAATGGGGTCAAGTTAAGACCACGTGGACAGCTGAAGGGAGCAGAAACGCTCCACTTGCAGTGGACAGGATGCCAATGGGGTCGGGGACACAGGACAGGGGCTGCTTTTGGCTCGTCTCCTTAGGGGAAGAGGGGAAATGGAGGTGGAATCAAGGAGTGGCCAGGACCTCTGTCCCATCCTCCACAACTTTAAGGAAGAGTTTGTATCCTGGTCTAGTCTCTATTTGGGTCTCATTTTGGGTTTAGTGTATAAGTGATGATGTTAATCTTTGATTTACAGCACATCAGGCAAGATGATCTAGTGGTAAGTTCTGGTGTTGAATTCTAAGAGTTTGATGTAAATATTAGATCATTCTGTACTTGAAGAGTAAGCGCTACAATTATGGGGAGGATATTATTTTTCACATGCAACTTCACTATTTGAAAGTTTGTTCTAAGTATGAAACTCAGTTTATCCCTAACTATAGAACTGTGACTGACCGGGGCTTCTGTAATTTATGTAGGATTTCATCCTTCAAGATCAGAGGACATAGCATTTATACTCACTTAATTTGAAATTCTGACCATGGAGGAGACTGTAGTATTGGGGCCCTTTACAGCAAATAGATGTCATCTGGTCAGTAGTTGTAATATGTCTTTGTTTCTTTCCTGTGCAGTGTCTTTGGTGTAATACAAACAACACTTGTATGGACTACCCTGTGAGAAGTATTCTTCCATCATCTTCACTATGTTCACTTTACAATGCTCGATGGGGTGTTTGCTGGAGTAAGTTCAAATTGTATTTTGAATACAACAGATGTGGTTAGTCATTCAGACTATACAATAATGTTGGATTTTATTCAAGAATTAAGTTGACTGCCATGTAGTATTTATTATGATTTAAGTATGTTCCACCTAAGGAACATCATCTTGGGTGAGATTCACTGCCTGAGATCCTTAGGAACTGCCTCCTGAAGTACAGAGTAGTGTTTTAGTAACCACATCAGCCCCTTGGACAGCTATAGGGCTTTTTCTTCCAACTGTACAGTTGACATAGGATGACATACGTGCCCTTCTTCACCTTGGGTGAAGGGGTTAGCACAATAGAAACACGTTGCCTCTCTCATGGCTGTCTCCCTAGCATGCACAGAAGGCAACCAAGGGTTGGTTCTATACCAGTACTTCCACTAGCACAAATGCATGCAGAAAGTTCAAGAGCGTATATGAATGATTCATGCTGAGGCTGGAGGTTTGTGGTCCTCTGGGTGCTGAAGAGATTCATTTGAGTTTCCTGTCTTAAAAAAGAGGAGAGGATGGCTATTGAGTGGAGTGACTTCCATTTATTCAGAATCTGAATGTTACCATTTTATACTATATTAGAAAATGGTGAATGATATATATTCCTTACTTATTAGAAAACTTTGTTTTTACTTGTGATTTGTGTCAAGCTCTATCTGGATGCTCAAATACAGCATTCAAATTTTTGTATTAAAATACTACGTTATGTATGGTGAATATATAAGGAAACAGTTGATTTAAAAACTTAAATGTTTTCCTTTTAACTGAGTTACTAAAGAATTGAGGTATTATCTGTAGTCCGTTTACTGATTTGGGGTTATAATGTTCTTCAGGATTGCCCCTTCCCAAACAACACCTGAAATGGTGCCCCTAATCATAGTGTATGAAAAAAATTAGGAGCGAGCTTCCATTGCTGTGTGAACATCTGAGATAAGCGTGTGCTTTTATGTACAAGAGTAATATGGAGAATTAAAAAGAAGAGGTTAACAAAAGGATTAGAAAAGAAACTTATATCAATCTGGTGGATGGTAATTTTTGATTGAGTGTCAGTGGCGGAGTTCTCATGTGTAGCACTTCAAGGTGTTGCTTTAGCAGGTATTTTACTAAAACTACTTTAACAGTACTGCGTAAAAAACCAAAGGTGAAACTGAGAATGGCCAAAACATTCATTAGGAGAAGTGGGGAGAAGACCAATCCAAATGATTGCTGCTCAAATCTTACAAGTTTAGTTTTATGTATATTCATGTTATATTTGTTTTACAGTGAATTTTGAGGTCTTCATCATTTCAATAGCTGTAATAGCAGGACTCATCCTGCTGTCCATTGCTGTCTGTTGCTGTTACTGCTGCTACTGCAGAAAGCATTCAAGGGGGTAAATATATTTTTCTTCTTTGTTGGTCCTACCTAGTCCACCTAGAAATTTAATTTGGAAGTAAATCAAATTCAGTATTTATTGGTTAAGAGATGTAAACATTTATATGCTCCAGTCTGGTAATTTTTAATCACATCTTCCTGGTGAGAAAGTAAATGAAGAAAAGAGCGTGTTCATATTTATTTATACATGTTTAAAACGGGTGAGGAACCTCAGGCCTGGGGCTGAATGTGGCCCCTGGCTTGCCAGCATCTGGCCCCCGAGGCTCTGGGCTCCTCTCACCTCAGCATTGAGGAGCCTGCAGTGACACTCCAGCCCGCCCCCACTGCCCCCCATTTCATGTGGGACTGGAGCACATGAAATCTACTAGCCTGGGCCCCCCTAGCTTCTGGTGCAAAGGGATTGTGGGGAGTGTCTCCTTCTCCACATCAATGGAGGTTTGTCTATTTTGGGTTTTTTGTTTTTTCTTCTCAGTTATGTGTGGTCTCTGACTGATTTTTCTGTGGGTCAGTGATCCCCAATACAAAAAAAGGTTCCCCACCCCCGGTTTAAAAAAAAAATCACACACAGAGTACATATGTGTTTTCAAACTTAACAGTCATCTTACCAGGAATTTTTTCCAAAGACTAGTCATAGAATCATAGAATATTAGAACTGGAATGGACCTTGAGAGGTCATGGAGTACAGTCCCCTGCCCTCACGGTCTGCCTACGCAGTGCCAAATTAAAAAAAATCTGTCGCAGCAAGTCTCAGAGCCTGGATCAACTAGCTTGGGCTTGAACTATATGGTGGAAAATAGCTGTGTAGACATATGGGCTTAAAGCCCAGGCTTCCACCTGATCTTTAATGTCTTTGTGGCTACATGGCTATTTTTACTTTATTTTTAACCCCATACTACAAGATTTGTGACCCAATTCAGTTGACCCACACTCTGAGACTGGCTACTCTGGCATGGGTTTTTTGGACAGTAAGATGTACCCAAAATGTCAATAGGATACGGGTGGTGTGGGACTGGCAGGCTACCTATCTGGCTCGGTGTGGCTCCCTGGAAGGGGCAGCATGTACTTACTACTCCCCGGACCCCATATCCTCAACATGCTGAATAACAAAGCTTTTTCCAATATATATTTCCATTTTGTTCTCTTTTATTAAATATGAGACATGTAACAATAGTAGGTTTAAAAAAAAAAACCTGTGGAAACGTGACTTGACAGTTGATTGTGTCCTTTATCAAACTGCTGAGTTCAGACCGCCCCTTATGATCTATGTATGGCACGTCATACATACATTTGTATCATGCGTATGTGTGGCACAGCTTTTATACTGCAGCATGCGGTGATTATCCTGTCCTAGCCACTGGATGTCACTATTGCTCTGCTTAAGTGCTGATGTAAATGCACAAGTGGTACTGTTTGTCTTCACATCTCAAACAACATGTATTAAGTAGGGATGTTAACCAGTTAACCAATAAGCTGATGTTACTTGTTAAAGGCTGCCCTCCTGGAGCTGGCAGGTAGGCTCAGTCCCAGCACGTACTGGGTTCCAGCAGCTGGCCCTGCTCTCAGGCTACCCCCACTGCGGCTCTGAGTTTGAGCTTAGCCAAGCATGCGTGCTGGGACTGAGTCTGCCTGCTGGCTCCAAATTTAAATGCAGTGCTGCTGCAGAGACATCCTGGGAGCAGGGCCAGTTGCCAGGATCCGGCGGCGTATGTCAGGACTGAGTCTGCTGCCAGCTTCAAGTTCAAATGCAGAGCCGCAGTGGGCTGTAGTACATCCCTGGGCTAAATTAATGGTTAACTGTGTAACCAGTACGCTATTTAACAGTTACATGGGTACCATTTTAAACTATTTTGAACATCCCTAGCGTTGAGGCCTGTGAATGTTTCTGATTAATATTAGTTTTGTGAGGTAATTATTGTGACAAAAGTATACATTTACTAATTCTTTGTGCCCCAAAGGAGTTGAGATAAATTAAGTCATAATGAGAACAAAAAGAGAAATAAAATATCGCTTGTCCTCCATTGGCTTGAAAAGTTTTGTTGTTCATATATGGTATTACAGGTTTAGTAGAAAAGTGTACAAGTACTGCAAAACCAAAATAATTTTAGGATAAAGGGAAAATGCTGCTAGCTTAACGTAATTGAGTCAAGTACAACTGTAAAGGCTGTAAATCAGGGACGATTAAAGCATTTTCTGAAAAATAATCAACGGCTTTTTCTTGAACAGAAAAACTCTCTTGATTGCTGTCTTCCCTCCCTATCTTTCTAGTAGACCAGATGAAGAGGAAGAAAGACTTTCCAGAGATCGAGAGGAGAAACGAATGCAGTCTCTTCAGCGGTGGGTTTTGGAAATACACTTTTTGATAGAATTTTTATTATGCAAAATAGTAACCTTAGCTCCAAGGGCGGAGGTCGACAACCTATGGTTCACAAGCCTGATGTGGCTCTTTTGGAGCTTCAGCTCAGTTCTTCCTAGCTCACCTTGCAGCAGGGAGCCAGCACTACAACTGTACGGCACCTCAAGATTGGAATGCCAGCGTCCGCTTCCTGTAGTGAAGGGAGGGCAGTGGCGGGAGAACCCCAAGCCTCCCCGCTGGATCTGGCACCAGAGAACAAGTAGAGACAAAAATGGCTCTGTGTACTGCTGTTTTCCTTCCCTGGCTAGGGTGGGGGAGGGGGCAGACGGGGACCAGCCTCGCAGGGATGCATTTCCTGGAGGCTTCCTCTTTGCTTCCGTTGGCCAGAATCTGGCAAATGGGAGCAGTGAGAGGCCATGTTATATGGTGCCTGTGTGAAAGCAAGCAGCTGGGCCCCAACGCCTCATGCCCAGACCCCGCTCCCGCACCTCCCTCATTCACCACCCCTCTGAATCCCCACACCTGCAGTCCAGGATGCAGGGTCTGGGAGGGGGCAGGAGTGCAGGAGGAGGTGCAGGGGGTTGGGTTGGGTTGTGCCAGGGAAACGCACACAGACGGGAAGGCTCCCGACATAACTGGTACTAGGACCCAGGAAATGATGTTCAACTGCAGACTCTCTGCAGAGCACAGACACAGCCTCCTTCAACTGAGCAGCTCTGTCCTTGAAGAAATGAGAAGGAGTTGTGACCTGAGGGGGAATATAGGAGGGCTGCAGTGTCTGGGAAGGTGTATGGGGGCTGGAACAGGGGTGCAGAAGGTTTGGGTTACATGGGGTAGAGGGGCAGAGGGTTGGAGGAGGGAGGAAAGCTGAGGTGCCAGAGACAGGCTTTGGCTGGGAGAACTTACCTGGGTCCTAGCCAGCAGTCCATCAGGCTCCTTAGCCAGGGTCCCTGCCTTCCAGCCCCTGTACTGCTCAGGGGAGCTTCAGGAGCCATGTTTACTGCTCTGAACTGAATGCTGTCAGGAGGGAAGGGCATTTCACATGCTGCCTGGCCTGCAAACAGGCAGCTTCTATTGGCCAGAAACCAGCCAATGGAAGTTACTGGGGGCCAGGGCAGCATGAGAAGTCTCTCTTCCCTCACTTCAGGCTTTCAGCATTCAGAGAGACACATATGGCCCTGCAGCCGGCTTCACTGAGTGCCGAGCAGGGGCGAGGCAGGCAGGGAGCCATCTGGGGCTCTCGTGGGCCAGATCTGGCAGGTTGGTGGGCCAGATCTGGCCCTCAGATGATATTTTGCCCAGCCCTGATCCTCAAAAGGAGAGCCCCGGCTCTCCCCATTCTCTGCTCTAGAACCTTAAAAGATGTGCAGAAGTGTGACTTTCATTCAGTTTCTAAGAGCATAGGAAAATGGAATGTGAAAAATATTGT